GAGTTCCAACTCAAATAATTGTTTTGAAATGGTCAAAAATTAAACCATAAAATATTCAGATAAATGTAAGTAAACATTTATGTAATCTTGGAATGGATAGGCTTCTTAAAGTACATAATAACAAATTTAGGCAATTAAAAGATTGCTAGGACTGAAAATACAGCTCAGTGGTAAAGTGCTTGCCTACTGGCCCTGGGTTTGATCCCCAGTACTACGAAGATAAAAATAAGCCAGGCCTCGGGGCTGGGAAGGTGGCTCAGTGGTAGAGCGCATGCCTTGTATGCCAGAGGCCCTGGGTTCGATTCCTCAGCACCACATAAGAAAAAAGAAAAAAGCCGGAAGTGGCGCTGTGGCTCAAGTGGTAGAGCGCTAGCCTTGAGCTGAAGAGCTGAGGGACAGCTCCCAGGCCCAGAGTTCAGGCCCCACGACCGGACCCAAAAAAAAAAAAAATAAGCCAGGCCTGGTAGTACATGCTTATAATCCCAGCTTTCAGGAGGCTGAAGCAGGAGAATAGCAAGTTTGAGGCTAGCCTGACTAAATAGCAAGACCCTTGTCTCAAAAGGAAAAAAAAAATTTTCTATATATAAACCTAAAAAGGGGCTGAGAAGGTGGCTCAGTGATAGAGTGATTGCCCTTGCATACATGAGGCCCTGGATTCGATTCCTCAGCACCACATAAGCAGAAAAAGCTGAAAGTGGTGCTGTGGCTAAAGCAGTAGAATGCTAGCCTTGAGCTGACGAGCTGAGGGACAGCACCCAGACCCAGAGTTCAGGCCCCACAACTGACAAAAAATAAGTAAATAAAATACACCAAAAAGTTACACCAGCCTGCTAGGATTACAAATGACTGTCATTGTGTCTGTAATTTAATTTTTTCCTATCACGTATGCCTTTTGTAATTTTAATTCATTTTTAATGATAAAAATTATACAAATGCTGAGAACATCTTTGTGGGAACATTTTTAAGGTACTTGATGCGTATTGCAAAACTGCCCTCCAGGTACATTGTAGCAGTTACGTGCTGCCAGTACTGTTCACTTTCATTTTTGGACTCAATCTAATTTTGTTTTAGTCCGCTCACATTTGTAATCTTGTTAGATCCCTTTTTTATTATTTCTTGGGGTTCCAACACTTCCCAGTTTAGTGTTCTCATTGAATTTCATTAGCAGCTGTTTCATTAGTAGTACAGAAGAAGGATTAAAGCGTTAACTAGGATAGACTTTGATGGAAACCTATGAAAATGTATGTTATTATCTTTGCATAAATCCCTTTTAATCAGAGCTCTTCAGAAACCCTTCTCTGATGCCCATCTCCACTGATAGGACAGGCTTCAGGTGACCTTCGGGACCTTGAACAGGCGTGTGTGCTTCTCTCAGAGGGAACAGCACACCCAAGTTGTATCTGACTTCGTGTTGTAACTAAGCTTAGTAAGGCTTTGAGCAGCTTCAGATCAATCCACTGCCCTTTGCTTTTGCTCCTCAACAACCTTCTGTTTGGGTCTCTGGTAACTTGACACGTACACAGTTTTTTCATTTTGACAAATATGTACTAGAATGGATATATTCTGGAATGATTTTTAATGCATCTTTTTTTCCCCTCCTTAAATCCTCTTTTAAATGCACTGGAAATATTATCAAGGTATACTCTTGATAAAGAATCATTCCCTCTTTTTTCTATACAAAATGTCACATATTAAATTTGGTTTATAATATACATAGATATTGTTTCTTTCTATTATCTTTGCTAATAGATGACTAATGCAAAATATTGAGTAATTTTTTAAAATCAATACTTAATTTGTTAGAAATAATTAGAGACATTCAACTCTGACACAAATATCCCACTCAGTTCCTGGGCCTACTTCTGTTAGAGGATGATCTATAAATAATTCACGAAGCTGACATTACTCACTGTGTTGCAATCATTTTTTTTCTGGGAAAATTTTAGCAACTGTTCTAATACAGATTGCCAATGATCAGTAGTTGAGAATGCAAGTCAACTTTTAATTATGGAGAGGCTGATTATTCAGATGACAAATTGTTCGGGCCCCACTCTGCTCTTTCCTGCTGCCTACCTTTTAGCATTTCACTGCTCATTAGCACGTATTGCAGAAGGTAGACATTGGACAAGCAGGAGAAAAGCAGCAGAGGAGATGGAAATCAGTTAAGCACTTAGGAGAAGCTCTGATGAAAAGATTTTAATACAGTTTGTAGAATTATTGACTAAAATTGAATCATTTGGATTCTTTGTGAATTATGTTTACTTACTTTATTCTTGTTTTATTTTATTCCATAGCAACAGATAATAGAATTGTCTGTAAAGAGACAATGTAATTTCTACATTTAATTTTTCCTTTAGAGAACGTTTTTCACTTGATAGTTCATGATATTTTCTTTATTCATTACATTTCTATCTAGGCTGCTTATTTCTTTGGTAAATGATTTGTTGAGATTCCTGGCATATGTACGGTGATAACACAATTACTTGACAGTTCTCCAGTTTTCTAGAAAACCAAATGTTTCCCTTTAAGTATCTTTTGCATTTCAACCAATTTGTTGAAAACATGTTTTTTCTAATACCTAAACCAAGGCTATTAACCATAACTTAAGTCTTTCTCAATGGCCAAAGTTATCTATACCATCATACACTCCTGGGATATGTATGGCTATTATAAAAACCTATTCATGCTGATCACCAGTGGCTCACACCTGTAATCCTAGTAACTCAGGAGGCTGAGATCTTAGGATTGCAGTTCAAAGCCAGCCCAGGCAGGAAAGTCCATGAGACTCATATCTCCAATCAACCACCTGAAAACTGGAAGTGGCATTGTGGCTCAAGTGGTAGAGTGCTCATCTTGAGCAGAAGAGCTCAGGGACAGCACCTAGGCCCAGAGTTCAAGCCCCACGACCAACAACAACAACAAAAAAAAAACCCCACAATACCTGTTCACTTATGTTGTCCCTTTAGAAGCCTTTGGCTCGGTGGAATGTAGTAAAACTACACTTATGAGTTCTGTGTCCCTTCTCCAATTTGTCACCTCTTTTGTTTGTTTCCAGAAAAACCTGCCTCTTAGATTCTCCCCATATCAATTCTCTCCTTTTGGATTTTTGTGGCCGAAGGAACAGCATAATCAGATCAACACTGTGTCTAGAATAGGAGCAAAAAGTCTGGTGGGTTTGGGATATTAAGAGCTTCTTCCCCCACCTCCCCAGTCCATATACTAATGGCTTGGTCCCCATCCTTTTGGGAAATGTAGAATCTTTGGGAGGTAGGGCCTCATGGAAAGAAGTTAGGTCACTGGGGTCATGTCCTTGAAGGACATATTGGGGACCCTGACTCCTTTCCTGTCTCTCCTTTGTGTGTGTGTGTGTGTGTGTGTGTGTGTGTGTGTGTGTGTGTGTGTGTGTGTGTGTGTGTGTGTGTGTGTGTGTGTGTGTGTACCAGTCCTGGGGCTTGAACTCAGAGCCTGAGATGCTGTCCCTCAACTCTTTTGCTCAAGACTAGTGCTCTACCACTTGAGCCACAGTGCCACTTCCAGCTTTTTCTGAACAGTTTATTGGAGATAAGAGTCTCATGGACTTTTCTGGCTACAAACCACAATCCTCAAATCTCAACCTCCTAAGTAGCAAAGATTGAGCTACTGGAACCCAGCTCCTTTTTCTCTTTTTGCTTAGTCACTATGAGGTAAGCAGCCTCCTCTGCCACACACTCTTACCATGTCCTGTGCCATGTCCTATGCCACCACAGGCCCAACTTACCATGGACTGGAACCTCCAAAATGGAACAAAAAAATTTCCCTTTTTCTCTTCTCACTCTCTCCTCACTCTTACTTTTGAGACAGGGTCTTGCACTGAAGTTCAGCTGGCCTATAATTCTATGTAGCCTGGGCTGGCTTTAAATTTGTAATCTCTTTGCCTCAGCCTCATGAGTTCTAGAAATTGAGATAAGACCAGCTTACCATTCCTATTTCTAAGTAATTGGGTTGTTTTTGCTTTTTTTCGGATATCTAAACCTTGACCAATACATTGGCTTGTACATGAGTACAAAGAAGTCATATATGAACATAAGTACATGAGCTTGGCGCTAACAATTCTTGTTACATCTATTCACTTTTTTAAAAAAAAATTGGTCAGTCATGGGGCTTGAACTCAGGACCTGGGTGCTGTCCCTGAGCTTTTTGCTCAAGGCTAGTGCTCTACCACTTTGAGCCACAGCTCCACTTCTGGTTTTCTGGTGGTTAATTGAAGATAAGAGTCTTACAGCTTTTCCTGCTTCAACTGATTTCAAACCATTATCCTCAGATCTCAGCCTCCTGAGTAGCTAGGATTACAGGCATGAACCACTGGTGCCTGGCTTCATTTGCTTTTAACTGTGCTGCAAAGATTGTTTGGAACATGAGACTAACTTACATAAAGCTAGTACAGAGAGTGCTTTGGTGAGAATTACTGCTGACTGGTTTCCCATAAAGGAGGGACAGAGGGTAAAATGAAGCAGTATGCATAATGAATATTCATTTTATATATATTTGTAGGCACAAAAAGTCTATAAAGTCTAGTATAATAACTGGCCACTTGTTCTTTTAATGAACCAGAGACCAGTTAAAAGCACTTGTCTTTGGGAAATGGTCTCAACAGGTACTCTGGCTTCTGTGTCTTTGTGAACAGTATGAAACAGTCTAGAAATCTCCATGCTGATAATCCCTTTTTGATTATTTTTTAATAAATTCTAATTTAGGGATTTTATTTTTTTGGCTATGGCATAGGGACATAACAATTAAGTTTTAGGATTCCAGTGGGTTTTTCATGCGTTCCTTCACTTTGTTTCCTGGGGACCAAAGTTTGTCATGACTCATGTTCCATCCAATTTAGATTGGATCCGGCTGTGGAGCAATGACTCAGATGGGCTTCAGGCCCAGCTGCTCGGCTCATCTTCTGAGGAAAGGATGGCGAGGTCAGCACTGATGGCCTGATGCATTTTTCCTCTTCCCTCTTGTGCTTTCAGGATCTAAAGAGAGCTTCGTTACCAGCAGCAAGCAGGTACGCCTTGCCACAGGCATCTTCCCTGTTGTCAGTCTACTGAACCACTCCTGCAGCCCCAACACCAGCCTGTCCTTCGCTGGCACTGTCGTCACAATTCGGGCAACACAGCAGATTGGAAAAGGGCAAGAGATTCTCCACTGCTATGGTGAGCCAAGCTTCCTTACCACTGGCCTGCCCTTTTCCAGCCAAAAATAACAAGCTGGATAGGAATGAGCAAGTCATCAGGCAGATGCTTCCATCTGTCCAGTTTCCTGGAAGAGGCAATGCATCTTTAGACCAAAATCATAGTAGGAAGCCCTGTGGTGGACAGGCTATTGTGTCTTTCACTACTTAATCCCTATGTACTACCTCAACAGCTCAGCTTCTTTTCTCCCTGTTCCAACAACTTTGAAAACTATTTGAGAATCCAAATCCCCCAATGTAAAGTAAAACTTTGCTGCTGCGTGATGAATCACCCAGCCCCTTTGCTGAGCTGCAGACTTGTGAATAGTCTTTAACTCTCTTGCTTTAAGAAGTAGCTGGGGTTGATCTCTCTGCAGGGCCTCATGAGAGCCGGATGAGTATTGCTGAAAGGCAACAGAAGCTGAAGTCTCAGTATTTCTTTGACTGCAGCTGTCCAGCTTGTCACACTGAGGAGCTCAGAACAGCTGTGGGGCCCAGGTGGGAAGCCTTCTGTTGTAACAGTTGCAGAGCGCTTATGAAGGTAAATTTCTCTTCTCCCTTCTCTCAGTCTACTCTTCCCAGAGGACAGTGATCCTTCCTGAAAGTCATCAGTCTTTAGAAGAAAGCTATTAGGGGCTTGTAGGTGCTGAATACAGTAATAACATTTCCATGTTGTAAACCATCCCCACATATTGGTTGTCTCTCTAAAGGAGTGACAGGGTTAAGGTTAGATTTAGTGATGTGTCTCTTGCACGTGACATAAAATGCCACCTAAACTGATTCAAGGAAGGAAATAAAAAGGAATTAGATATTCATTTGCTCAAGTAAGTCATTAAAAAGTTTCATGCTAGGGGACTGGGAACGTGGTTTAGTGGTAGAGTGCTTGCCTTGCGTTTATGAAGCCCTGGGTTCAATTCCTCAGTACCACATACGCAGAAAAAGCCAGAAGTAGTGCTGTGGCTCAAGTGGTAGAGTGTTAGCCTTGAGCCCAGAGAATCTCAGGGAAAGTGCCTAGGCCCTGAGTTCAAGCCCCAGGACTGGTTAAAAAAAAAAAAAAAGTTTTATGCTGGGGCCTGGTGACACATGTCTATAATCCCAGTACTCAGGAAGCAGAGGCAAGAGAATCTTAAGTTTGAGACCAGCTTGTCTCAAAAAAAAATATTTTGTTTCAGGGTAGAGCTGCTTCAGATACAGCTTGGCACCAGTACACAGGTGACTCCTGCCTAAAATCCTAGCTACTCAGGAGACTGAGATCTGGAGAACCACCAATTGAAGCCAGCTAAGCAAAAATGTCTATAAGACTCCATCTCCAATCAACCAGCAAAAAGGCTGGACTAAAAGTGTGGCTCAAGTGGTAAAGCACCAGCCAAGCAAGCAAGCAAGCCCCAAGTGAAAGCACAAAGCCCTGAGTTCAAACCCTGGTACTAGTCCCCACCACCATTCCCCACACACACAAACACACACACAAAGATACATCTTTGATCCAAGGGCTCAGGAATGTCACCTAGAACCCACTTTTGCATGTCTCAGCTCCATTCCTGCTGTGCTACCCCCATCCTCACATACTTCCCTGACAGGGTGGTACGGTACAGTGGCTGCCAGCAGCTTAACTTCCTGATCCTCCCTGCCCAGGGGAATAAAAACATGTGGCATTCCAACAGCAGTTGGGACAAAAGTCTTATGCATCACTGACCCAGTGACTGTGGCTAGAGAAAATGGAGTTTTCCTCCATTTTGAATCAGAGGGAAACCCCACACCTGAGCTCTCTCAGCTTCATGGCATTGACAGAGGGAGGCTGAGGGGGCACCCTTAAGAGAAGTTGGTTTGTTATGCCAAGTGATGGCACAGATACCAACATCTGCAATGCACCCATGCCCACCTGCTGTCATAGGATCCATGCTCTTCTGAGGGTACTGTAAGTAAAAGGCAGAGCTGGTTGTACAGGGAAGCTAAAGTGGTAAACCCTGGGTAACCCTCACCTAACCCCTTATGTATTGGTTTTCTTTTCTTTTCCTGGTAATTTTGTATTTGTTTCTTTTTTCTTGTTTTAATAGCAATACTAGTATTTGAACTCAGGGTCTTGAACTCACTAGGCTGACTTTAACTCACTTGTGCCACACTTCCAGCCTTGTATTGGTTTTCATTCTTTCTTTTTTGGTGTCAATATTGGGGTTTCAACTAAGTGCCTCGGTGCTGACCTTAGCTTTTTTTTTTCATTTGCTTTATTTCACTTTTTCACTCTACCACTCGAGCCATAGCTCCAACTTCCAACTTTTTGGTGACAAGTTGTAGATAAGAGTCTCACAAACTTGGGCTGGGAAGGTGACTCAGTGGTAGAGTGCTTACCCCACATTCATGAGGCCCTGGGTTCGATTCCTCAGCACCACAAAAACAGAAAAAGCCAGAAATGGCGCTATGGCTCACGTGGTAGAGAGCTAACCTTGAGCTGAAGAGCTGAGGGACAGCGCCCAGGCCCAGAGTTCAAGATCTACTACCAACAACAACAACAAAAAAAAGTCTCACAAACTTTCCTGCCCAAACTGGCTCAGAACCTCAATCCACAGATCTCAGCTACCTGAGTAGCTAGAATTACAGGCAGAAGCCACCACTGGCACACAGCTTTGTATTATGGCTTTTCTTACAGCTGTGTGTGCGTGTGTGTGTGTGTGTGTGTGTGTGTGCATGTGTGCATGTGTGTGTGTGTGTGAGAGAGAAAGAGAGAGAGAGAGAGAGAAAGAGAGAGAGAGAGAGAGAATATGTCCTGGGGCTTGAACTCAGGACCTGGGAGCTATCCTTGAGATTTTTTTTGCTCAAGGCTGGTGCTCTATCTACCACTCGAGCCACTGCTCCACTTCTGGCTTTTTTTTTTTTTTTTTTTTTTGGTGGTTAACTGGAGAAAAGAATCTCATGGAATTTCTTGTCCAGACTGGCTTTGAACCATGATCCTCAGATCTCAGCCTCCTGAGTAGCTAGGATCATAGGCATTAGTCACCAGCATCTGTCTTCTTACAGCTTTTTTTTTTTTTTATAACCACTATTCAAATACTTTTTTTTTTTTTTTTGGTTGGTCTTGGAGCCTGACTCTGGGCTTGGGCGCTGTCCCTGCGCTCTTCAGCTCAAGGCGAGCACTCTACCGCTTGAGCCACAGCGCCACTTCCTTTTATAACCACTAGAAATGTGTTTGCCACCAAAAGGCAAAGAGAGATTAAAAGAGGGGCTGTCAAGATGGAAAGAAATTGTAAGCTCTATCAGTTCTGTTTCAAAAACTTAAATCTCAGGATGGAATCAGTTGCTGCTTTCATTAGAATTACTGGTTTTAGACAAAATTCACTCCACCTTATATCATAATATATGTATATGTATATATATATATTTTTTGGGGGGGGGTCCGGTCGTGGGGCCTGAACTCTGGGCCTGGGCACTGTCCCTCAGCTCTTCAGCTCAAGGCTAGCGCTCTACCACTTGAGCCACAGTGCCACTTCCAGCTTTTTTTCTTTTTACTTATGTGGTGCTGGGGAAGAGACCTCAGGGCCTCATGCATGCAAGGCAAGTGCTCTACCACTGAGCCACCTTCCCAGCCCCTCATAATATATTATTGCAAGAACTTTTTTTCCATAGCTGGGCACCAGTGACTCATGCCTGTAATCCTAGTTACTCAGGAAGCTAATATCTAAGGATCTGGTTCAAAGCCAGCCTGGACAGGAAAGTCTAAGAGACTCTTAACTCCAGTTAACCAGAAGTGGTGCTGTTATGGTTCAAAGTGGTGGAGTCCTAGCCTTGAGAGAGAGGAAAAAAAAAAAAAAGCTTAGGGACAGTGCCTAGGCCCTAAATTCAATCCCTATGACCAACCAAAAAGAAATCTTTTTCCCCTCCCCAATAGAGTCAGTACTCCCATAATGTGAGCATGTATAATGTTAATAACTGAACTGAGTGTGACTTAGGAGTAAAGACAGAACTGACTTCCACAGGGAAATGCTGTACTGAGCTGTGGCACCAGATCTTGTGCAGAATCCATCAGTAGGGACCATCTGCTCTCTCGGTTACAGCAACTTCAACAGCACGTTGAGATGGCCCAGAAGCTTCTCAGAAATGGTAAACTAGGTGAGACTGACTCCATCCTTGGTCCTCCAGCCCTTTCCCTTTTATATGTATTCTTATAGCACTTTGTATCAAGAAAACTCAGGAATAAAGAATTGTATTGAAATATCCCTGTAGCAGCCACAAGGTGGCTATATTGGCCAGTAAGAACAAACAAACCCTAGCTAGCAGTCCTTGTATAAAATGATAAATGATTGAAGCTGTTTACTTATGCATTAGATAACAAGTTCTGGTATCCCTGATGACTGGAGGCTTATATCTGACTTCCATGACTGACTTCCTTCCTTCCTTCCCTCCTTCCTTCCTTTTTTGCTGGTCCTGGGGCTTGAACTCAGGGCCTGGACTCTGTCCCTGAGCTCTTTCTTTGTGCTCAAGGCTAACACTCTAGCACTTGAGCCATAGCGCCACTTCCCGCCTTTTCTGTTTTTGTGGTGCTGAAGAATCGAACCCAGGGCTTCATTCATGCTAGGCAAGCACTCTCCCACTAAGCCACATTCCCAGCCCCTTCCATGACTTTCTAGGAAGGTGATCCTCAGAGTCAGTCTTTTTTTTTTTTTTTTTTTGGGTCCGGTCGTGGGACCTGAACTCTGGGCCTGGGCGCTGTCCCTCAGCTCTTCAGCTCAAGGCTAGCACTCTACCACTTGAACCACAGCGCCACTTCCAGCTTTTTTTCTTTTTGCTTATGTGGTGCTGAGGAATTGAACCCAGGGCCTCAGGCATGCAAGGCAAGCGCTCTACCACTGAGCCACCTTCCCAGCCCCAGAGTCAGTCTTTGCTAGAAAGTGGTAAGAGCATGCGCCCAGTGGAGATAAGAATCCTACTCAGTACAATCCACTGGCAGAGCACTTCCCTAATATGCATGAGGCTTTAGGTTCAATGTCTAGCACTAAAAGAGGACTCCCCATTACTTTTTTTTTTTTTTTTTTTAGCCAGTTCTGGGCCTTGAATTCAGGGCCTGGGCTCTATCCTTGAGCCTCTCTATGTTCAAGGCTAGAGCTCTACCACTTGAGCCACATGGCCACTTCCAGCTTTTTCTGTTTATGTGGTACTGAGGAATGGAATACAGGGCTGCATGCTAGGCAAGCACTCGACCACTAAGCCACATTCCCAGCCCTCCTCATTACTTTTGAAGATTAGAACTTGACCAAGAAAGAATTTAATTACCCTACTTTGTGAAAAGTGATCTTTAGCCTATACTTCATAGGCAAAAGAAATGACCATGAGTGGACTATAGGGTTGGTTATATTGGAGAGTGGATGTTGGGAACCCAGAGTAAATGGGGAACACTGGCTAACTCCAAGACATGGACACAAGAGGTTTGTTGTTGTTGTTGTTGTTTTTAATGAACTATGTGATTTTCTGTTTCTTTTGTATGTTCTTCCTCTTACGATACATCCCCTGTTATCACTGTATTTTATTTTGGTACCCTGGTATTATATATACATTTATTTGAATTAGGGAAGGGAAGGGGAACCACAGAATGGTGAGACAAAGGACAAAGGGGGGAACCAATACAACAGTGATATACTCAAGATCATATATTGGAAATGATCTGTATGTCTTGGAGGGGAGTTCGGGGGAGGAACACTAGGAGAAAAATGAGGGAAGGAGTAACAAGTTTGACAAGAAATGTACTTATAACCTTACTTACATAACTATAACCCCTGTGTACATCATCTTGACAATAAAAAAAAAATGGGGAACACTGGAACACTGTGGGTTGGTGATAGCCCGTGGAGACATGTGAATGCCTAGCTGAGGCAGACTTGATACTTGTCTTCTCATCTCCAAGCTGAGGTTTGTGTATAAGAAGCATTTTTTCCTTTCAATCAACAGAGCAAGCCATCCAGCAGTTGTTAGTGTACCAGCAAGATGCCAAGAGCTTCCTGTGGACAGAGCACACCATGGTGGGGAAGATTGAGGATAGCCTGGCCCAGGCTTATGCCGCCTTAGGTACCACACATGTTTTCATTTCCTGCCTTGTATGTTTTTTCACAGTACTCACCATTCCTCGTTCTCTCAATATTCAAATAGATGCTGCTCTCCCTTCCATTGAGCTTTCTTCACGCTGAGAATTCATCCACAGTTTACTGTGGTTCTTTTCTACTGTAAGATTCTTTTTTTTCTCTTAGGGGACTGGCAAAAGTCTGCTGCCCATCTACAGAAGAGTCTCCAAGTGGTTGAGGCCCGCTATGGGCCAACCAGTGTTGAAGTGGGCCATGAGCTCTTCAAACTGGCTCAAGTCTTGTTCAATGGGTAAGTCTTAACCTTTTGCTAGCACTTTGCCAGGGCACATACTGTTCTGTTGCTTACTAAGAGCTTCAGTGTATAACACTTTTTTCCTATAGTGCTTTTGAAGTATGTTGAAACTTGTTTATTTCCTCTTTAGGACAGATCCTTGCTTTCAGTTTTGCTGACAAACTTAAAGGTTTAGAATTTCCTCCTTAGAGATATGAGGGAAGCTCTTAGCTCTGAAGAGTTTCCCCAGGGAGGCCTGGCTGGGCAGCACTGCCCTTCTACCAGTGTAGCATTCCCTCTCATTCCTCCCTGGTTAATCACACCTCTCTTGGCCCTTGGTTGTCTTATTTCCAGCAACTTCTTCTCCAGTCTCTTGATCTTTTTCCTAATTTACATCCTATGCCTTTTAAAGAAATTGTTTTCAACCAGGACTGATTTCTGCCTCAGATAGCATCTGACACTGACTGGAGACTTTTTTGTGTATGCTGGTCTTGGAGCTTGAACTCAGGACCTGGGCACCATCTCTGAACTTCTTTATTCGAGGTTAGCACTTTACCTCTTGAACCACAGCTTTATTTCCTGCTTTTGGTAGTTAATTAGAAATAAATCTAATGGACTAGGCTAACTTCAAACCTCAATCCTCAGATCTCAGCTTCTGAGTAGCTAGGATTACAGGCATGAGCCACTGGCACCTGGCTAGACATTTTTATTGTTATGACAGTGAAGTGTGGGAGAGGGGGAGGGGAATGCAGGTTACTAGCATCTAGTGGGTAGAGGCTAAGGTATTCTAAACCTCCTGTAGCATGCAAGTCACCCCTAACAGCACAATCATCAGCTCAAGATGTGAGTTGTTCAGAAACTAAAAGTTAAAAGAGACAGACAGTCAAGGTAGTACATGCTTTTAATCCCAGCACTCTAGAGACTGAGGTAGAATTACATGTTCAGGACTAGCCTCGGCTACATAGCAAAACCCTGTCTAAAATGAAGCGTAAAAGAGGGGCTTGAGGCGTAGCTCATGAACAGAGCAGTTGCCTAGTATGCTTAAAGCCCTAAGTTCTATCCTCATTACTGTAGTAAAAAGTAAATAAACATAGCTGGAAATTGTAGGGTGCTTGCCTGACATGCATGAGGCCTGGGTTTGATCCCCAGCACCACTTAAAAAAAAAAAAGTAAATAAAGGTTAAAAAAAAAAGAGAGAAAGAAACTGAGCTTTTAGCTCAGTGGTAGAGTGCTTGCCTCACATGCATGAGGCCCTGGGTTTGATTCCTCAGTACCACATAAACGGAAAAGGCCAGAAGTGGCACTGTGGCTCAAGTGATAGAGCACTAGCCTTGAGCTGAAGAGCTGAGGGACAGTGCCCAGGCCCAGAGTTCAAGCCCCATGACCAACAAAAAAAAAAAAAAGAAAGAAAGAAACCATTAAAAATTATAATAAGGCCGTGCACTGGTGGCTCACGCCTGTAATCCTAGCTACTCAGGAGGCTGAGACCTGAGGATCCCGGTTCAAAGCCAGCCCGGGCAGGAAAGACTGTGAGACTCCTATCTCCAATAAACCACCAGAACACCGGAAGTGGGGCTGTAGCTCAAGTGGTAGAATGCTCGCCTTAAGCTGAAGAGCTGAGGGGCAGTGCTCAGGCCCAGAGTTCAAGCGCCATGACCGACAAAAAAAATAAAACAAATTATAATAAGGAGCCAGGCACCAATGACTCATGCTGGTAATTATAGCTACTCAGGAGAGTAAGATCTGGAGGGCTAGCCAAGCAGGAAAGTTCACTAATCTCTATCTCCAAAATAGCTAGCCAAAATCAGAGCCGGAGGTATGTCCCAATTGGTAGAGGAAGCATGAGGCCCCAAGATCAGACCCCAATACCACAGAAATGGAGTGCAGACAATTAATGAGCTGATCCTTACCACCCTTCTGCCATTTGGTGAACACTCACTTCAGTATTTCTGGATAGAGTGCCTCCAACCTCAATAGAACTGCCATTAGTGTACATTGGGTATAAGAAAGTGTTTGAGGGGCTGGGAAGGTGGCTCAGTGGTAGAGCACTTGCCTTGCATGCTTAAGGCCCTGGGTTCGATTCCTCAGCACCACATAAGCAAAAAGAAAAAGCCGGAAGTGGCGCTGTGGCTCAGATGGTAGAGTGCTAGCCTTGAGCTGAAGAGCTGAGGGACAGCGCCCAGGCCCAGAGTTCAGGCCCCACGACCGGACCCAAAAAAAAAGAAAGTGTTTGAGTTGAGCATTGGTTGCTCATGCCTATAATCCTAGCCACTCAAGAGGCTGAGATCTGAGGATCCAAGTTTGAAGCCAGCCCAGACAGGAAAGGCTGTGAGAATCTTATCACCAATAAATATCCAGAAAAAGCCAGAAGTGGTGCTGTGGCTCAAGTGGTAGAGCACTAACCTTGAGCAAAAGAAGCACAGGGAAGCCAGGCACTGGTGGCTCACGCCTGTAATCCTAGCTACTCAGGAGGCTGAGATCTGAGGATCACGGTTCAAAGCCAGCCCGGGCAGGAGAGACCGTGAGACTCCTATCTCCAATAAACCATCAGAAAACCGGAAGTGGCGCTGTAGCTCAAGTGGTAGAGCGCTCACCTTGAGCTGAAGAGCTGAGGGACAGCGCCCAAGCCCAGAGTTCAAGCCCCACAACCAACAAAAAAAAAAAGCGCAGGGACAGAGCCCAGGCCCAGAGTTCAAGCCCCAGGACTGGGAAAAAGACAAAGAAAATGTTTGGCTGGGCATTGGTGACTCACACTTGTAAACCTAGCAAGGCTGAGATCTGAGGATCACAGTTGATGCTAGCCCAGACAGGAGTCTTGAGACTCTTATCTCCAATTAATCACAAAAAAAAAAAAAAAAGGCTGAAAGTTGAGCTGTGGCTCAAGTGGTAAAGAACTAGCCTTGAGAGCAAAGGAGGTCAAGTACATCAGGAACATCAGGAACTCAGGTACAGGCCCTGAGTTCAAGCCCAGGACTACCAAATATATATAACATATATTATACATATTATATATATTTATAACATATAATTTATATATTATAATTATGATATACTAATATAACTATAATAATATTATACTTATATAATGATTTTATATATTATATAGCTTGATTTAGCTTACATATAACATATATAGCTTATATATAATATATATATAGCTTAACCAGCAGTGAACTAACCTCTCTTGCCTCCCTTGGTTCAGGTTTGCAGTACCTGAGGCTCTGAATACCATACAGAAGGCAGAAAAAGTCCTCTTGGTGCACTGCGGCCCTCAGAGCAGTGAAATCAAGGAGCTCCAAGAAATGAGATCCTGTTTATTGGACTTGCCACCAGCCCTTGTGGGGCCTTCAGTATAGGATCCCCAAGAGACTCTGGCCACAGGAAAGGAGCCCTGGTGGATGAATTGAAAGGGTGGTCCTGCTGCTGAGCTGTCAGCTGAAAGACAGTTTGCCCAACAGCCCATCCTAGTGTGTTAAGGGCAGGGAAAACTGGAAAATATTACACTTGGAGAGAGACACTCACGCATTCATGGACGTACCTTGAATAGCAAACAGCTCTTCAGAAAACTAGTACACAGAAAAGACTTCCATGGGCTAGGAAGGTGGCTCAGTGGTAGAGCGCTTGCCTTGCATGCATGAGGCCCTGGGTTCAATTCCCCAGCACCACATAAGCAAAAAGAAAAAAAGCCGGAAGTGGCGCTATGGCTCAAGTGGTAGAATGCTAGCCTTGAGCTGAAGAGCTGAGGGACAGCGCCCAGGCCCAGAGTTCAGGCCCCACGACTGGACCCAAAAAAGAAAAAAAAAAAAAAAAAGACTTCCAACTAGAATCTGGAGAGGCCTGTTTCTTTAAAAAGATTGTAGTTAGCCAGGCACCAGTAGCTTACCCTATAATCCTAGCTACTTAGGAGGTTGAGATCTGAAGATCATGGTAAGAGGCCAACCTAGGCAGGAAAAGCCATGAGATTGTTTTTGTTGTTGTTTTTGGTCAGTCCTAGGGCTTGAACTCTGGGCTTGGGCGCTATTCCTGTGCTCTTCAGCTCAAGGCGAGACTTCTACCACTTGAGCCACAACACCACTTCCAGTTTTCTACTGGTTTACTGGAGATAAGAGTCTCACAGACTTTCCTGCCTGGGCTGGCTTTGAACCGAGATCCTCAAATCTCAACCTCCTAAGTAGCTAGGATTACAGGTGTGAGTCACCTGCACCCAGCAAAAGCCATGAGATTCTATTTTTTTTTTTTTTTTTGGTCCGTCATGGGGGCTGTCCCTCAGCTCTTCAGTTCAAGGCAAGTGCTCTACCACTTGAGCCACAGCACCACTTCCGGCTTTTTTCTGCTTATGTGGTACTGAGGAATCGAACCTAGGGCCTCATGCACGCAAGGCAAACACTCTACCACTGAGCGAACTTTCCAGCCAGCCATGAGAATCTTATCTCCAGTAAACTATCAGAAAACCCAGAAGTAGCTCTGTCACTCAATTGATCTGCAGGCAGCCTGAGGTTTGGGCCAGATTCCATCTCACTAAATGGTAAGAATCTGCTTTCCTGAAACAGTCCTGTGGTTTCTAATAGTAATGAAATGTTGCATACAGACTAGTAGGAACTCTTAGTAGTTGTATTGTAATTGAAAAATAATTATACAGTAAAAAATCTCTATGGCTCATTACCTCAAGAAACATGATTCCACTTATTGTATCCAGCTTCCTCAAATCCTTCATTACTATAGTTTTGTATAGTATAGTATGTAGTTTAGTGTAGTTTAGTATATTTTAGGATAGTTAGGAGTGTAGTTTGCAGATACAGAAATAAATATGGGGGGCTGGGAATGTGGCTTAGTGGTAGAGTACTTGCCTAGCATGTATGAGGCCTTGGGTTCAATTCCTCAGTACCACATAAATAAAATAAAATTTGGGGCTTGGAATGTGGCTTAGTGGTAGAGTGCTTGCCTAGCATGCATGAAGCCCTGGGTTCAATTCCTCAGTACCATGTAAACAGAAAAAGCTGGAAGTAACCCTATAGCTCAAGTGGTAGAGTGCTACCTTGAGCAAAAAGAAGCTCAGGGACAGTGTCCAGGCCCTGAGTTCAAGCCCCAGGACTGGCAATACATACATATCCACATATATATATATATATATATATATATATATATATATATATATATATATATGTGGATATGTATGTATATATATATGCACTGAGTGAACCAGCCCCTGGTAGTTCATGTCTGTAATCCTAGCTTCTCAGGAGGCTGAGGTCTGAGGATCATGGTTAAAAGCCAGTTTGGGCAATAAAGTCCATGAGACTCTTATCTCCACTTAACCACTAGAAAACCAGAAGTGGCACTGTGGCTCAAAGTAATAGAGTGCTAGCCTTGAGCAAAAGAAGCTCAGGGATAGCACCCAGGCCCTGAGTTCAAGCCCCAGAACCAACAAAATAATAATATGCTGAGTGATATACCACTGATGTAGCTTAGTGGTAAAGTGCATGAGTGTAAGGCCCTAGTTTGTATCCCCAGCATGTGCACATATATCCCAGATGCTCAAGGGCATGAATCTTGCTGCTAGTGGTTTCAAACTTGAGACAGAGGTAGACAAGAATGGTTGTTCCCTCCCACAGGCTGTATAGCAATGATCCAGGAACTGTCTTTTGGAGGCTATGGGATTTTTCTGGGTCTTCACCCCTTTGCGGTATCACTACTGGTGGCCAGACACTGCGGAAGAGTTAGTGGGAATGGATGCCAGGTTCACACTGCCTTTGAGAGCTTGTCACCCTTCCATGCCTAAAGTGGGCCTGTTGGTTGCCATGCCTTGCTGTCAAGAAATAAATAGCCTAGGAGATGACTGGCAGTAGCTTTTCAAGGAACACAGTATTTGCAATACAGTTAGTATTCAAATATTTGTTGAATGAAAAGTGGGTAGAATTTGGGTTATCCTCTAATAACTCATTGTTGCAAGGAGTGGTCAGTGTATATTTTGGTAGAACTTTTTTGGAAAGGAAAAAAGTCCTGCAGATAAATTAGATTCTCAAAAGTTTGACATATTTCATGATTCTCAAAAAGGCTTATAGTTCATAAAAATAGTTCTAGTTTCTTTAAGAATATGCTAATCAGGTTCTATTTTATATGTACTTGCAAGCTTGCTTTATAAAATAAAGAACTGTATCCTAAAGTTACAAATTACTTCCCTTATCTGTCCATATGTTAACCTCTATTATCATGTAGTCTTAGCTTAACTATGGAATGCATTGAAACCAAGCTGGCTAATTTAAGAGCATGACCTATAACTTTGTTCTTACATACCCTCTGCCTCTGCTCTCACCAAAGGCCTATATAGACTTGGAGGTGGAGAACCAAAGAGGTGAGAGGTCTTTAGTTCTTTCGGGTGACACCTCAAAAGAAAATAGTGGGATCTTGATCTCTTTTGCTTTGCTTCCCAGCTGTAAGGCATTCCTGCTATGAGGTTCTGTCTCACAACATTCCTAAAAGTAGCCATGTCAATTGATTATGGTTGGATCTAAAACTATGAGCCAAAAATAAATCCTTTTCTGCCAGGCATGGTTGGCATATGCCTGTAGTATCAGCTATGGAGCTAAGACAGGAGTATTGCTTCTTCCTCTTCCTCCTCCTCCTCCTCCTCTTCCTCTCCTTTCCCCTCCTCCTCCTCCCCTTCCTCCTCTTCCCCCTCCTCCTCCTCGGCACTATTCCTGAACTTCATGCATGCTAGGCAAGCACTCTACCACTAAGCCACATTCCCAGCCTGAGACAGGAGTATTTCTGTCTGAGGCCAGCCAGGAAAAATTGGAAAACCCTATCAGAAAAATACACTTATGAGGCCAGGAGCTGGTAGTTCATGCCTGCAATCACAGCTACTCAGGAGGCTGAGATCTAACGATAGTAGTTCAAAGCCAGCCCAGACAGAAAAGTCCGAAAGACTCCTCAGTCTTCAATTAACAAGCCAAAACCAAAACTACAGGTGTGGCTCAAGTGGTATAGCACCACTTTGAGTGAAAAAGCCAAATGAGTCAAGTACCAATGACTCACACCTGTAATCCTAACCACTCAGGAGGCTGAGATCTGAAGATGAAGGTTCAAAGCCATCCCAGATAGGAAAGCCTGAGGCTCTTATCTCCAATTAAGGACCAAAACAAAAAGCTGGAAGTAGAGCTGTGGCTCAAGTGGTTAAGAGCACTACCCTTAAACAACAAAGCTAAGGGATAGTACCCAGGCCCAGACTTCAAGCCTAGGGACACACACACCATTTGAAAGCACAAGTCCCTCAGTTCAAACTCAGTGCTGCTGGATGCTGGTGGCTCATGCCTGTAATCCTAGCTACTGAAGAGGCTGAGATCTGAGGATCACAGTTCAAAACCAGCCCGGGCAGGAAAATCCATGATATTCTTTATCTCCAGTTAACCACCAGAAAACTGGAACTGGCGCTGTGGCTTGTGGTAGAGTGCTTGCCTTGAGCTGAAGAGCTAAAGGACAGCATCCAGGCCCCAAGTTCAAGCCCCAGGATCGACAAAAAAAAAAAAGACTCAGTACTGGCAAACGTACACACACACACACACACACACACACACAAGACAAAAAGCTCAAGTAACAGTATTTACTCAGCATGTTCGAGACCCTGAGTTTAATCACCAGTATCATAAAGTAAGTAAATCAGATTTTCTCCTATTGATTATCGCAAGTATTTGTTATAATCAGGGAAAGCTAACTAACAACATGCTTTAGTGATTGTGGAGACCGGAGATGTCCTCCTTGGAGAACTAGTGGCCCTGATGCATAAACACCCAGGGTAGAAAGCAGGCTCTTATATAAACACAGATAACTAAAGGTTCTTATAAATGGTTTCTGCAGAGTTCAGGGCAATGCATCTTCACAGTCAACTCAGCATAGCTCAAAACAGGGAAGAACAAAGCAACCCAGGTTACGGAAAAAGCTCTTTTATTGCAAAGCATACATAGAAACTATAGGAGCACCTTCATGTAATGTGTTCTTGCCATTCTTCTAGTTTTCTTCCAGGATACTGGGACATTAAACTGGGGCATTAAGTGCCCCTGGGGTCCAGAATTTTGCCTATGAAGAGAAGGGCTCCTGTGTCTGTGTCCCTCAGTACAAAGATAAAAGGTTGGTTAAGGTGATAGTCCAGGGGGAAGGTGAGGCGGGTAACCTGCAGGGGTGAGGTGGGAGTGGTTCCTGCACCATCTTCATTCCACTCAAACCCAAGCCTGTGTTCCATTTGAGTGAGTTTGACAGGTTTGCCTGTGATCTTGCTGAAGTCTGGTGTTTCGAACAAGGATTGCAGTTCTGTAGAGGTTAAGAGAGATTCCCATTAAAACCCTGCCTTATGTAACACCCCAAAGAAAAGACAAAAAGGCAGGCAAACTGGAAATGGAGCACTGCTTTGACCTGTGAAGCTTGGAGCCAGGGTAAATGATTGTCCCAAGAGGAAATTCTATTAAAATGTAAAATGGATGATATATCCAGGACCTGTCTACAAAGCCATGGAGCCCTTGAATTCTGCTTAGCAAAGTGGAAGCTTCTAAGGTTCAGCCCCACCATGACCTCCAAGAGCAAAGAGGTCTTGCAAACATACTCATCTCTTGTAGGGACTTGGAAACTTCGCCTTCATAACTCAGCTTCAGCTTGGGGACAGTCAGGACTGCTTGGATAGTCTTCAGCTCTCGGTCTATGTCATGAATGAATTCAGAGGTGAGGCTCTCTTCTATCATCGTCAAGTTCTGTGTTGCTCTCACGGGAAGGAAGAAGATGATACTCATACTACCAGTCAAGGGCAGCTGAGCAATCTGAAACAGCAAGAAGCAGGTGGGTAAGTGCTTCAACACCTCAAAGCCTAGGAATGGACTGATACTAAGAGCTATACCTTCCCTTCTCCTATGGTGGTGCTTGGCTCTGTATGTGCCCAGCTCCTGACATATTATCCTGTAATAGCAAGCAAACTCTAGATGCTCCTTAAAAACACAAAAACTGAGGCCCGGCGCTGGTGGCTTACACCTATAATCCTAGCTCAGGAGGCTTAGATCTGAAGATCTTGGTTCAAAGCCCAGGTAGAAAAGTCCGTGGACTCTTATCTTATTAATTATCTTATCTCCAATTAACCATCAGAAAACCGGAAGTGGCCCTGTGACTCAGGTGGTAGAGTGCTTGAGCTGAAGAGCTGAGGGACAGTACCCAGGTCCAGGGTTCAAGCCCCATGACTGACCCAAAAAAAAAAAAAAACTGAGAAAGAGAGAACAGCTTACACTAAGCAAAAGGAAAGAAATGTACATATCACCTGATTTGAAAGAAATAGTTGTATTGTCATAGTTTGTAGAGTTCACAAGCTTTATAGACCATGATAATGACAATTTGCCTTGTGAAGGCTCAAACGTAGCTAAGTATCACATTCCCACAATACTGTGAAATTTATGTAATCCCTTAATAAAGAAAAAAATTAGCTGGGTGCTAGTGTCTCATGCCTGTAATCCTAGCTACTCAGGAGGCTGAGATCTGAGGATCACAATTCAAAGCTATCCTGGGTAGGAAAGTCTGTGGGACTTTTATCTCCAATTAACCGCTAGAAAACAGGAAGGAGCGCTGTGGCTCAAGTGGTAGACCATTCACCTTGAGCTAAAGAGCTCAGGGACAGTGCCCAGGCCCAGAGTTCAAGCCCCATGACTGACAAATAAAAAGCACATTTCTCTTTTTTTTTTTGGGGGGGGGGGGAGGGGGGTCCGGTCATGGGGCCTGAACTCTGGGCCTGAGCGCTGTCCCTCAGCTTTTCAGCTCAAGGCGAGCACTCTACCACTTGAGCCACAGCACCACTTCCAAGGATACATTTGATAACTAACCTTCCACTCCATCTTTTTTTTTCTTTTCTTTTGTTGGTCATGGGGCTTGAACTCCAAGACCTGGGTGCTGTTGCTGAGCTCTTTTGCTCAAGGCTAGCACTCTACTACTTGGAGCCAGAGCTTCACTTCGGTTTTCTGATGGTTAATTGGAAATGAGAGTCTCATGGATTTTCCTGCCCAGGCTGGCTTTGAACCATGATCAGCAGAACTCAGACTCCTGAGTAGCTAGGATTACAGGTGTGAGCCACAGCACCCAGCCTTCACTCCATCTTAAAGCGAGGAAAGGCTCAGAAGACTTGCTCACACAGTCACCCAGCAGATAAAATTCAGATAGTTATCCAATCTATTTCCATACATCATTCTGCCTTTCTTTGACCTCTCCCATCTACCTCTACAGACCTTGCAGTTGAGATCAGAATCCAAGCCATAACGTAAAATGGCCTTGGGGTCCGACATCATGGGGACTCTCACAGTCCTGTCCTCATCCAAGTGGAAATCCTGGAGGGAGGTCTTCCTGGAATCAAACTTCGTTACCCACTGTCCTGGAATGGAACAAATGGAATGTCCTGAGCCCCAGGCACCAGAAAGGCCTAGGGGACCATGCTGTGTCAATTTCCTGACTGTTTGAAGGAATCTTAGTCCTCAGCTGCTCTGACACATGAGGGAACAGTTGCTCTATCTCAGCATGTGTAGTTTGAGGTACAGTACTTCCAGTACCCCAAAAGCCTTCTACAAGCCAACTCAGATGGAAAGAAGTTTATTTGATTTGATTCCTTTCATCAAAGGTGATCTTTAATATGCTAGTGTGTGACTGCTCTTTTACTGGACATCAGCTCTTGAAGGAGGAAGCCACCTTGATTTCCTCTGGGAATTTAGGGGTCCAGTCATGCTGGTTTCTGAAAACATAAGCATTTTAAGGGGAAGATAATGCTATTGTCTCCCCCCTATCTCCAAGGCCTTATCTGAACATGGCAGATCCCACAGTAGGCTGTGCAATCATTTCTGTGCCCATCACCACTGTCTAGAAGAATGGTGATAGATAATGAATGACAGTTTATTGACCACCTCCTGAGCCCCAGGTACAATATTAGGGTGCTTTGAAAACAAGTGAATATACAATAGTCTATACTTTATAAAGTATGTGTGTGAACCTGACATTAAAGATGAGGACTCAGACCCAAGAAGGTTTCAGGGTTCTGCAACCAGCAAAGGCAGAGCCAGGATTTAGCCCTGTCTGACGCAGAAGCCTAATATGGTGCCCAGCACAGGTCAGGCCTCTTACACCTGTGGCCCCTCATCAGTCACTCTGTAGACACCTAGTAGATGGAAAACAGATAGCTGCAGCCTATCTGATTCTCTCCTGGCTTTGCCTCAGAGTCATGTCAGGCAAGGATTTGACTTCTCTTTCTCAGCCCCTTGACACCTGTCTTCAGCCCCTGGCCACAGAGAAATGGGGAAGCCCTCACCCTTGAAGTAAGCCACACCCAGAAGCAGAATGCTGATGTCGCTGGGCATCTCCCTGGTCGACCTGGCAACTTTCCCTTTCATCTGGGCTTGTACCCAGTTGTTAATCTCCTGCAGGTCTATGCGAGGGTTGCCAGTCATGATCCTGGGCCTGGTCCCATATGACTTTTCCAGTGCTGCAACAAAGCTGGATTTTACCCGCAGCTCTAAGAAGAGGTAAGGAAAAGAAGAGGTTAGTGTATGGGTGAAAGCTGAACCAGCAGCCTGTCTTTGAGAATTTGCCAGGCTTAGGCTCTGTTTACCACACAGCAGGCCCCCATTTCCTGCCCAGCATCTTCCCATGACTTGCTCAAGCATCTGCTGGCTTCCCCAGACACTAGACAATGGATTCCATCCATTGCTGTTTCTCTTTATGCTACTGCACACCACTGTCCCCCCCTCCCAAAAAAAAAAAACCCACACCCTCCTGCCTGCCATCTCCCTCAGCCCACTTCCTCTTTCTGATCCTTATGGGCTCCTTCCTGTCTACCAATGCCAGGCCTGGACTGAACACACTTGATCTTTTGTTTAGGGTGGGGGGAGAGGATGGCAGGAGAGGGGAGGTTGGCAGGAGGGGGGGGTAGCCGGGAATGTTCATCTTGGAGCTTAGAGGCCTTAACTATCAAATAGCCCAGGCTAGAAAGGCAATTGACTGCTTGGGTACAGTAGGACATGCCTATAGTCCCAGCACCAGAAAGGGCAGTCAGGAAGACCACAAAGAGGTGGGTAAGGAAAGAAGAGAGGAGAGCAAAAAGAAGGGAGGGAAGGAGAGATGGGAAAAGGGGAAGAAAAAAATGGAGAGAACTGACTCCTCTCAAAGACAACACGGGAAGCACTCTTGAAGTTCTTTTGGGGGGCAGTGACGGTGGCAAGGAGCTCCTTGTAGGTGCTGTGGATATCAGGATTGCTGATCAAGTCATAGTAGAGAGCCCGGTGAATGATGGATTCCGTTCGTTGTTCTGCACCTGTCAGACAAGATGATGATCCTTGGATAACTGATGAGCCCCAGTCCAGCTTCTTTCAGGACAGCAATGCTAAACATTTCTTCCTTCCTGCTAATTGTGGGGCTTGAACTCTGGGCCTGGGCACTGTCTTCAGCTCTTCAACTCAAGGCAAGTGCTCTACCACTTGAGCCACATCACCACTTCTGGTTTTCTGGTGCATTACTGGAGATAAGTATCTCACAGACTTTCCTGCCTGGGCTGGCTTTGAACTGCGATCCTCAGATCTCAATCTTCTGAGTAGCTAGGATTACAGGCATGAGCCACTAGTGCCCGGCTTAAACATTTCTTACTAAGTAAAGCAAGCTGACCCCGAGCTCACAAGCTTTCTGCCTTAGACTCCTGTGCTGAGATCACAGGCATGTCCTCCACAACCTAGCTAATACTCCTTTTATCTGCTAAGAGCCTGAGTAGACTGATCCTTCAGACTTTCTAGGTGGGCAAGGATTTGAAGGTAATGGAAGACACAATTAGGTTCTCAGAGATGTTTCTTAAAGTAGGTGAGCACAAGTCCATATACTCCCTATCTCAGTCCCTACACTGTTTTGTAGTTACCTATTTATCAGTGTCCCCTGTGAACTCAAGCTGTGACCCTACTGTGGGCAACCCCAAACCTGCTTTCAGGCAGATAAATCCCTAGAACCTAGGTGAATAGCTGACACATAGTAGGAACTTGTTTAAGGAATGAATAAATGTTCTAGTCACAATATCAGTAAGAAGTGAGGATTGTAGCTGTACAAACCCTAAGCTCCCAAGTATATGGGCTGGACCCACACACACACACACCCATAACCAGCTTTACCACAAGCCCTTTATGCCCTTCCCCAAACTGCACATGCGCAGAAGCCCCTTGGGGAGGGGCCTCCATGTCCATCTGGGGCCTTCTGCAGCTACACACTCACCCAGCGAAAGGGCAGACAGGGCTGTGGCCATGCTGAGTGGAGACAGCAGCACATTGGCAGTAGGGCTGGCACTGGATCTCTGGCGGTATAGGTCATAGCCGAAATTGGAGATGGCTGCTGCCAGCTTGTTCACAGGGATCTTGAAAAAGGGGTCCTCTTCCTCCACTGGCTCCCCAGTGCTGTGAGGGACTGGGGAGCCCTGGATTAGGAGTAAAAGGACCAGAGGTGACACTAAGTGAATGATGTCTCCTGGCCTTGAGTAGGGTGTGTTCTGGCTCTGGGGTTTATGGTATGTTTAGCCTAACGTTAAATGAGGCATGAATTTTCTGCTAGGAAGAGGCAGCCTGGAAGATATTTAGCTGGCCAGGTTTAAACATCTGATGGAAGCCTATGACACACTTTTTTTTTTTTTTTGGGGGGGGGGGGTGGTCCAGTCATGGACCCTAAACTCTGGGCCTGGGCGCTGTCCCTCAGCTCTTCAGCTCAAGGCAAGCGCTCTACCACTTGAGCCACAGCGCCACCTCCGGCTTTTTTCTTTTTGCTTATGTGGTGCTGAGGAATCAAACCCAGGGCCTCAGGCATGCAAGGCAAGTACTCTACCACTGAGCCATCTTCCCAGCCCCGACACTTTTTTAAACAAATGACCAGGAGTACCCCATCTCCATCCCCAGCCCCACTGAAAACCCTGTACTCAGGCTCCATCTGGTCACCCTGGCTGATTGCTCCGAGGCTCTGCTACACCCTTCTATCACACCCTGCCCCGTCTTTCTTGGCCACACGTCCTTTCCTCCATCCCAGATTTTCCCTGGCCAGCACTATTTGAAGGGAACTTTTGACTTCCTGACCTTTTCCAGAGTCAAAGATCACCATTACGCTAGGTGCTAGACTCTTGGCTAGTTCATTCACTTTCCAGTGCTGGGTATCAAACCTAAGGACTTGCACATGCTAAGCCAGCACTCTACCACAGAGCCATGCCCCAGCCTCTGCTAGTTCTTTTTTACTTTCTTCATTTCTTCATTGATATATTCATCTGATACCCCAAAAGACTAATATCTTAAAAGAATTGAAAATGTCTTTACTTTCTACCTATCCCCAGAACCTTCAGAGTAGATAGATGGTCATGAGTAGGCTGCAGCAGGTAGAGTACCTGCCTAGCTATACAAGGCCCTACTAGGTTCAATCTCCAGCACCAAAGACAAAGAAGAGTAAGTATCCAGCAGGTAATAAATAAATGTATAGTCACAATGTAAAGAAACAGACTGAGGTCACTAAGCTGGTGAGAAGTAGAACCATAACTGAAACTCAGAGCCCACAAAATGCAGGGCTCTGACTAGTATGCCCCAGCTGCCTGACCTGTGAGTAAGAATCCCTCACCCCTAGTCATACAACAGAGGCTCCAACTGGGCTCTCTGAGAACTCTACACTCCAGTCAGTATCTAAACAAATTACTAAAGACTACCACCCATCCAGTGAGCCATACAAGTATTGCAGAGATATAAGGGAGGATCTTGGGGCTTGAACTCAAGTCCTGAGTGCTATTTCTGAGATTTTGTTTTGCTCAGGGCTAGCACTCTACCACTTGGACCACAGCTTTACTTCCAGATTTTTTTTTATTTTATTGGTGATTAATTGGAGGTCAAGACTCTCACAGAGTTTTCCTGCCCAGACTGGCTTTGAACCATGATCCTTAGATCTCAGCCTCCTGAGTAGCTAGGATTACAGGCACGAGCCACCTGTGCCCAGCACTTTTCAGGTTGTTTTTTTTTTTTTTTTTTTAATCTTATTTTGGCCTCTGTTCTGTCCTCTGAAAGAATTCTTGGAACCCGACTTCCTGTGCTGTCTACCATGCTGCCTGCTAAGCAGGGGCTGGAAGAACTGATACCCCTCTCTCCTCATCCCACTGACCTCAGAGCTGCTGGCGACATTCTGGCAGCTGACTTGCCCAAGTAAGGTTCCAGCCCAGAGGAGTAGCACCAAGGCCCGCATCTCAGACCTGCAAGAGATGCAAGAAAGACAGGCAAGCCCCTCCCCTCATCTACCACTCTCCCCTGCCACACTGCCTGGCCAAGGGGCAGGCAGAGCAAGCACTTCCCTCCAGCCTGGAAGTAGACCCTTTAGATTACCCCCTCCCAACCATACCTATGCCCACCCTGCACTTCCTCTCAGTCAGCAGCTATCAGGAACTGTATTTTCAGCTCAGTGGACCCACCTTCCAATGTAAAGCTACAGTGCAGTGAAGATCCAGCTGTGGGCTCCTCCTTCCCTGTAAGTATGCTATAGTGCAAATGTACCACAAAGCTTTTCCCTGGAGGAATCCAGACAGCTTATTTGCTAGGGTTTATACCTGGAACCTCCTGAAAGAATGAGGGCAGAATCCAGTGCTCTGTGGAATCTCAG